CCATCCATCCATCCATCCATCCATCCATCCATCCAACCATCAATCCATCCATCAATCCATCCATTTATGCATGCTTCCATCTCCTTATATATTATGTTATGTTTTTTAGGGATCCATTTATCCATCCATCCATTTTTCCATCCAACAATCTATCCTTCCCAGCTTCTCATTATTGTAACAGTCACATCATGATAYAGTATTTGTTGTCATAGTCACATTTTTTCATTCAGACATTTCAAGATTTTTTTTTTACTTTATTTACGGCTAGTTTGCTTTCATTTCAGGAGGAGAACTAATCAAAATGATGGCAGAGCGTAATGGCCAACCCTTCCCTCCAAATCAAGTACTTAAAATATTCTACCAACTGTGTAGAGCAGTTGCTCATCTACAGAAACAAAAGCCTCTTATTATTCATAGGGATCTTAAGGTTAGTTACAGAACAGAAACAGTAACCAAAATCTCAAAGGCATAGACTATAGAATTTGAAATAGTAACTACATATTGATGAAGATGGTTTCTGATAAATAAATGTTGATGATGACGGTGGAAATGGTGATGGTAGTGGTGATAAATGTTGACAATGATCGTTATGATGAATGAAGATATTGATATTCATGATAGATGTCAATCATGATGATTTTGAGGGCCACATGTTAGATAACTCACTGGGTTAATTGTGTCACCCTTCTTGAATAAAGTTTGATAGATGTGTTGATCATCACAGTGAATGAGGGATCTAAGCGAACACTGTAAAGAAAGACTTGAAAAGATGATTTCAAGCTTCAACGGGAATCGAACCCATGACCTCCGCGATGCCTGTGCGATGCTCTACCAACTGAGCTATGAAGCCAATCCTGTTGGTACGCAGTCATTTTTGTTGGGTTCATCAAGCCACTACATGTATATGTAATAAGTGTAATAAAGTTTATTGTATTGTATTGTATTGATGATGGATGATGACGTTGATGATGATGACAATGAGAATGGTGATGAAAACTTAGAGTTTGTTTGATTGTAATTTTTCTTGTGTGTAATTCTCTCTATAGATTGAAAATATGCTCATCAGTTCGAAAGGACAAATCAAGCTTTGTGATTTTGGGAGTGCAACAACAGCGGCTCTTTACCCTGATGAATCGTGGACTGCACTACAGAGAAGCCTTGCTGAAGATGAGGTAACAGCAATGTACAATTTTCTGTTTTATTTTTGTTCTTTCTTTCTTTCTTCTATCCCTTATTCCTTCTTATTCTCCCCCTTTTTATTCCTTTCTTCCTTCCTTTCCATCCACCCACTGATCCCTCCTTCAATTCGTTCATCCATTACTCTCCCTTCTTCCCTTGCTCACTCCCAACCTCCCCTCCCATCATCCCTCCCTCCCTCTCTCCATCCATCTATCCATCCATCCATCCATCCCTGCAAGTAATTAATTTCCGTCCGTCCGTCCGTCCCTCCCTCCATCCATCCATCCATCCATCCATCCATCCATCCAACCATCTTTCCATCTTTCGATTATTCTTTTGTTCCTTCCTTTCTTCCTTCCTTCCTTCCTTCCCATCCATCCATCTACATGTATCCCTTTTTCCTTTGCCTTACCTCTCACCCTTCTCTCGTTTTTTCTCCCTTCCATTCTCATTTCTTTATTCATGTATGTTTTCTCTTTGAAACCACAGATTCAAAGGAACACTACGCCAATGTACAGAGCACCAGAGATGATTGATTTATACAGTAACCACCCAGTGACAGAAAAGGCTGACATATGGGCCCTTGGTTGTATTCTCTTTTACTTGTGCTTCATGGAACACCCATTTGAAGATTCAGCAAAACTGAGGATACTTAATGCCAAGTATACGATACCAGAAACAGACAAGATGTACACAGAATTTCATCATCTTATTGGTAAGACGTATTGTTGTATTGCAGGGGTAAAACACACAAATTTATTCACATCAGTGAGTGCGAAAGGAGATCTTGAGGTTAGCTCTATCATGAATATCTCCTAGGATCGAATTAGAATTTAGTAGTTGATTTTTGCAGAGGGAGGAAAACCRGAGAAACCTGAGCTCGTTGGGACTCGAACCCAGGCTGCATTGGCGAGAGGCAAGCGCTCTCACCGCTATACACCACCCATGCTCTATGTACATGCTCTATGCGCGCATGTACTATCCCAACTATATAATACATACCTGTACAGCTTTAGTTGTCTAATGAATGTCTAATGAATGAATGTTGTTTGTGTTTTCAAGAATCAATGTTAAAAGTCCACCAAGATGAAAGGCCAGATATTAAAATGATATTAACAGAGCTAGAAGGAATTGCTAAACAATGGACTGTTGACTTGAAAGCACCAGTGGTAAGTCATCCTTCATAACCTCTGTTCATTGTATTTAGTTTATCAATAAATTCTAATATTATAGAACTTCTTATTTATTCCTATCCTATTTTTAATGTAAACAGATTGAAGGTAGCATGAATTCTTCTTCATTTGGTAAGTCTTCATGGGAAGTTGTATTCTATTTTGGAATTACATAATATATTAAAAGAGTAATTAAGGTACATGTATTGGCCAAATTAGCAGGGCGAAGGATTTCTGGGTTTCACTTGACATCATTTCCTATCTTGTGCAGAATTTTCATCATCTGACTCTCAAGTTTTCAATAGAAATTTTCTTTCTGGATGACGGCACGTGATATACAGTGTTTGACCAATATTTGGAGCAGATAATGAGATTCAATGGATTTTATCAGCTGATTGAAACCCAGTTTTTGGATTCTTTCTGGTTGACAGCACTTGGTGCTAGGTGTTTGACCAACATTTGGAGCAGATGATGAGATTGAAAGACTTTTATCTGCTGACTGAAACCCATTAATATTGCCGTAAAATTATATAAAACATATTTTGTATTGGATATTCTTTACATAGGGGGTTGTAGTTGTCATTACAGGTGGTTGAGAGGGTTGGATGAACCCCAAAATCCCCCCCTAGATAAACCACTTTTTTTCTTATTTAAGCGCCTAGTCGTTCTAGCGCTTTCACACTAATTGGGGACACTTTTCACTCACACTTCCACTACATTCAATATTCTATGCACACAACGCTCAGCTCACATGTTGATTTTTATGGAGGGAGGAAACTGGAGAACCCGGAGAAAACCCTCGTAGCATAGGAGAGAACAACACATCAAACAAACTCAATTCACATGTGGCGACCGCAGGGCTCGAACCAGCGAACGCCACCCATGCTACCTGCCCCTGTGCCCAAATGCTGATCCACCCCTGTGTCCTAATGCATACTTGCATCAACCATTAATAATCTTTTTTTAGGAATGGGGGATTCCTCTAATAGTATTAGTAATAATAGTGGTCAAGGAGGCTCTGTGCTGCTAGGAGGTGTCATGAAAGGAGCCAATAGCTTGTTCACTAACATCAAGGGGATCTCAAACAAAGCGATTCAATCTGTAGCAGGGTGAGTGCTGTTACAGCTATATGCACTGGGCTTAAAATAATGGCAGATCAGTCGTTTGCCAAGATCACAGGCCAAATTAGTTTTATCATAGTCATACCTCATTTCTGGCTAGACATTACAGGTCAAAATGATTGTCAAGGCAAAGGCTTTCTGGTGCCAAACAGGCTTTTACCTACCCACTTTTGCACATCAATGGGGAAATTTGTTCTGTTACCTCACTGGTTGCTCTGTTTTATTTTGTTCTTGTTTTTACTGTCCTACTAATATTAATTTCCTTTTTGTCTAGATATGTAAAGAATGACTTTGATATGTCCTACATAACATCAAGGATCATAGGTAAAAGCATCTAGTCTAACCAAGATACTTGCTTCTTTGCTTCCTTGTTGCTTTGCTCCTTGCTTCTTTGCTCCTTGCTTCCTTGCTTCCTTGCTTCCTTGCCTCCTTGCCTCCTTGCCTCCTTGCCTCCTCCCCTGCTTGGCCTCGTTGCTTTCCTGCTTCCTTGCCTCCGTTGCCTCCTTGCTTTCTTGCTTCCTTGCTTGGCTGCTTCCTTGCCTCCTTGCCTCCTTTCCTACTTGCCTCCTTGCCTCCTTTCCTACTTGCCTACTTGCCTCCTTGCTTCCTTGCCTCCGTTGCCTCCTTGCTTTCTTGCTTCCTTGCTTGGCTGCTTCCTTGCCTCCTTTCCTACTTGCCTCCTTGCCTCCTTGCCTCCTTGCTTCCTTGCTTCCTTGCTTGGCTGCTTTCTTGCTTCCTTGTTTTCTTGGTTCCTTGCTTGGCTGCTTTCTTTCTTCCTTGCTTCCTTTTTTCCTTGCTTCCTTGACTTAATACTGTACCTTTTTCTAGAAAAAAAAAAAAAAAGAAATCTGTTTAACTATCTATGATAATGATAATTTATTGTTCATAGTAATGTCTTTCCCTGCTGAGGGAATCGAATCAACATACAAGAACAACATTGATGATGTTAGAGAATTCCTGGAAGGGAAATACCCAGACAGATACTTCGTGATCAACATCTCTCCTCGAAAGTATAGGACGGAAAAACTAAGTACTAGAGTAAGTGAATAAGCGCTGAGGCTACTAATGAAGGTGGGACACCTACTGTACCTTCGTGGTTTGCTGTCGTTCTACTCTAAGCATAAACATTCAAGCTTATTTTCATTTTATTTTTTATTTGTGTAAATATACTTTTATTTTTTCTTTGTCTTTCATCATTTCATCTCCTTGAATAGCTGTTATAGACTTTCAATACATGTAGTGTAACTCGATTCTTTTTTTATTTTTTGTTTTTTATTTTTTTGTTTTTTTTTGTTTTTTTGTTTTGTTTTTTGATTCGTAATCAGATTGATTGACAAACTCGATTGTTCACGGTTAAAGTAGAACGACAATCGCATGGTAAAACGACTTTTAAAAAGTGCCTATCACCCTTCTAGCTTCTAGCAATATTCACAGTATTGATTCTACATGGGGTAAGATGTGGAATAACCCGAAAATATTTCATAGTTTGAGTGCAGCTTCTTGTAGTTATAAAGGTTTTTCCACACCATATGCTAATGTTGTGACGTATGAGTAGTAATCATTTAATATGCAAAACACTACTGGCACACATAAATAAAATTTGGAATACGTCATTGTTTTCCCCATTGCTCTTATAGAAATTGATGCAAGTTCATTTTCACATAGTAGCAGGTGTTTCGAATTGTAAGCTTGATTTAAATTGTTCTATATTTTACTGTTTTCTTTAGGTGTTACACGCTTGCTGGCCAACCAACCGACTTCCATCTTTAGAAAGCATGATTTCACTTTGTAGAAAAATCAACGCATGGCTAAAGAAGGATAGCAGCCGAGTTATCGTTATTCACTGTCAGGTATGTTTTGAAAAGCAACTGGAATGTAGACATACTGTACTTGTTTTTCGCCCTAAATTCCAATTGGATCTGTGAATTGGCCATGCCCTGACTTAGATCAGCCCTGAGGTTGTTTCAGGGTTCTATCTGTGAGTTAGCCGTGCCCTGACTTAGATCAGCCTAGAGGTTGTTTCAGGGTTTGATCTGTGAGTTAGCCATGCCCTGACTTAGATCATCCCAGAGGTTGTTTCAGGGTTTGATCTGTGAGTTAGCCATGCCCTGACTTAGATCATCCCAGAGGTTGTTTCAGGGTT